GCTTCCTTCCTTCCTCCCTCCTTCCTTTTCCTTACTTTAGCTTACTTCCTCTCTTCCTTTTTCCTTTTTTCCTTGTCCTTACTCGTTCCCTTCCTTTTCCTTCCTCCCTCCCTTCCTTCCACCCAAATTTAATGCTTTGTCTTGGGGACGGGAAGTTCAAAGCGAACATTTGCCGGCTCGTACTGTTTAGGGTTGGTTCTTTGGCTATGCATAAACTTGTCAGTCTATTTCTTTCCTCTTTTATTAAGTTTGTGTCGTATCTTCAGCAGTGACCCTTGGATAAGAAAATTTGGTTATCTTTCCATCCGAGAAAATTTTGGTAGTCTCGTGACCGTACGTCCGTCCGTCCGCAACACAAGTAAACCAATGTCCTATTTTTCTAGTTATTGTGGAAGCTTGCAACCTGATACTGCGCATCCATGTTTTGGTTAATTTTTATAGCTGTCAAAACAGTTTATCTGCTGACCAATATCACATGACCGTATTGCGGGCTCAGAAGTCTACCCATCGAGATCACTTGTTTTTTGAAGTTATCCGCTGACAAGTTACTAGTTTTCAACGTGATGGCTACAAGTTTATTGTTTTAAATAAATGATAAATTTATCAAAAGTAGCTTTACCTTTAGCCTTTGCTAAATCTATATATTACGACTCTTCTACGTGACTTAAATTGAACTTATTTACAATAACATATTTTTACGAAGTCGCTTCAAACCGATTTCTTGCCTTTACCCCATTGAAAGAACCATCTTTTCTTCAAAGTTCCTCAAATTCTATTCCCTCAACTGTGGCTTTAAAATGTGTTCCTTAGAATGTTAATGACTGTATGGCGGATGTGTTTCATCTTCCAGCAGTAAATCAGCGGGTTGATGGATGAATTGAGATAGAGGAGTGTCAGGCTATAACCGTTTAAAGCCTTAAAATGCTCAATGGGTAAGAGGTGAAAGCGACAGCAAACGAGGTGAAAATATTTGGCAAATAACAAATCAGAAAAAACAGATTTAAGTAAACTGACGCTATCGCGAACTTTCTCAGCCGTAAGATATTAGCCATTTGACCGTTCTGCGTTACTTGTGGTGCCTGCAAAACGTGAAGTTCACTTACGTGGCGCCGTACAAACCAGCAAATTTTGACACTAAAGAAAATTGCCGTTACAATACAAGCGGATATAAAGATCGCGAGAATTGCGTACATGAAATTTATTGACATCCACAGCCTGGCGAATGAAAGAAATCCGCTCAATGCCCAAATTAAGATTACCACACCAACAACTCGCTCGTGTGTCACAAGTTCCTGGTATCTGAGGTGAAGATGAACGGCCATGAATCTGTCGGTACACAACGCCATAGCTCCGTGGATCGTTGCAAAACTGAATAGATTCGACGCGATGATGTGCACTATCATTATGGCAAAATATGTTGGATTGTTTTCAGCACCCTGACTCCAATAGAGGATCATACGTGCGACATACAAAGGTTGCGCCACTAAACCAACGCCGATATCAGAGACAGCCTGACTCAAGAGCAATGTTTTTAAGTTCTTTGACAAGGATGCTGTCTTTCGTACCGCGTGTACGGTGACAATGTTTGACATGATAGCAGTATAGGATAAAGAGACGTTCAGAACGCAAAGTAAAAGACCTGACGCCGACGAAAGTGGTGTTTTTTCGTGCATCGTTTCTAAAGCCAGTATTATTTCTTCAGGCAAGGTTCGACTTATAGGCGTCAAGCTCACTCCGTTTTGTTAAAAAAAACTGTATAAATATTCAGGGAGTAATACGAAAAAACCTTGTGAAGAATTTCTCGTGTAAACAGAACTTCTTACTGTTAAGTGATGTTGTCCGTTATGTTACCGATGAGATGTTATCCTTGATTTATGGAAAGTTTTCTGTTATTGAAATTTGCTTCGTAAAATTTTCCAAAAAACTATTAATAATTCATAACAAAAATACAAAGAAAATTAATGTTCAATATGATTCTTGAATCTGAGTTAACCTAGCTGATTTTTTAGCTCACCTTTTAAGAAAGTAAGTAAATCACCAAAGCACGAGAACTATCCTGTAAAATTAATTTTTCTTTATTTATGATTTAGAAGCCATTCAATAAACTGATATTTCAATTTTTAACCGAAGCAGCTAGCTTCGCCTCGTGTTTAAAGGCAAATAAAACACTCCTTTGCTTTAAAAGGCAATGTAATTAGAATGTCAGAAAAGTAAGTTACGAAAAGTAAAAATCAATACCCTACAGCAGCTAGTCCACTAATGCTGGTCTATTAGGACATTTTGATGTCACATACGGTTCGTCCGCACGCTATCAGACATGATCTGGAAACGTTTTACGGGCAGTACTTAGAAAAAAGCGTTGTGAGGGAGGGCAGTTTTGAACATTCTTACAAAGGGTTTAAACTTTTAATGCTTACTAACAAAGACAAATATTTTATCTACGAGAACAGCCAGATACAAGGTGGTTCACTTTATTCTAAATTCTCAACAGGGTGCAAATTGTATAACTTTTTCTATGAGGGCTCGAGCGGAGACGAGACAAAAGTTTCCTTTAAAATATCAAAAGTACCAAATAGGCCTGATTTGTGGCTGTTTGAAGAATTACTGGCTTATGACTGAACTATGCTTGATTCTGATTCTAAAAACAAGTGGAGGTGACAAAAACAAATAGAGGTAACAAAAAAAGAATTCGGTCAACAAAAAACGGAATGTATTGTCTTCGAAATCTCATACAAAATATAGTTTTTCGATTAAGATTGCTTCTTCGGGAAAGACCATTTACGAATTATTGTTTTGGATTGAAGCAATAAAGTATATTTAATCAAGAGATCCTCTCTTGACGTACTTGATATTGATATTTCCTTAGCAGAAGCTAAAATAAATCCAATATATTTCAGAACACTTAATTAAATGTCCTCCCTGGGTTTGATCTCAGCTGGGATTAACACCGACAGTTCACTTTATAACGGGGGTTTCAAAGTTTCGCATCGATTCAGCTAATACAATTAAAAAGAATCCTATCGGAATATTACAAGTTAGACCAGAAAAGCACCTCGGAAAATTGACCTATCCTACAACACATAGCTCACAGATCTAAAAATAAAGAAACAATCTTAATTCCCTTCTCAAATCGTTAGACATCATAAAGGTTTAGGACATGCCTAGGTTATTTTGTCTCTCCGTAAATTATAGTCGCCACCATATGGCCTGATACAATAACTTTATAATAATATTTTTATTCATCTCTCATCAGTTTTTGTGCCTTATATTTAGCGATTTGACAACACGCATCAAACGAATTGGCAAGCTATCTTTAATACATCTATCCCTTGTAGCTTCCAATAAGCCAAGTTGGCATAATTTAATCTGAAGGTTAGTGATTAGGGTTAGAAAACCGAAGAAATCAAGCTTCAGGTCAGTTTTCCTGGGGGGTCCTGGGGTCCCCGTGACCCCCCTCGTAGGCCTTCTTTTGAGCAAACAACCTATAATATTCAGGTGGCGAAAACGCCATGACAATATCTTGGCCTTAAAAGTCATAGTTGAAAAGCCCACGTTTTTAAAATTTGTGTTTTTGTAAAGTATTTTCGTCAACGGCTCTTGTCTTTAGTTAATATGGGCCTTCATGCCGCGATAATACGACTGAGCCCGCTGATACACGAGGGAGAGCAGCGGTACAAACCATATATAGTCGGCAATCCCCGGATGGTGTCCCTGTCTGTGACCCCCCCCCCCGCTTTGAAAAATCCTGGCTACGCCCCTGTGGTTCACTCAGTCTCCTAACCCTAATCACTAAACTTCAGAGTCATTCGGCGTACTCTATTTGGCGTTCGGCGAATGCAGAACACCGAATGACTCTGACGTTTAGTGACTAAGGTTAGGAAACTGCGTGAACTAAGTTTCAGGTCAGTTTTCCCAGTTTAAAAACCCTTATTGGAACCCTATTCACTCAGTTTCCTGACCCTAATCACAAAACTCAGAGTCTTTCGGCGTTCTGAATGCGGCATTTGGCTCTCGGCGTTCTGCAAAAAACGCATGCCCTCTGTCGCTTCAGCAGAAAGATCATATATTTTCATTTGGGTTTCAAGAAAATATGTGAACTATATTTATTCTTCATTGCGAGAATGCAGTTCACAATTTGCAGAAGAAGGCAGTTCACCTAATTTTCGGTTAAAACAATTGTGAATATAAGAGATGGAGATTCAAGTTCTGTACTGGAAATGTGCCAGACTTTCCGAGCTATGGTCAGGCTTGTGAACGAATTTCCGAAGTTTTTCTACACCTTTATATATGGATTCCAGTCTTTGAAAGAGGAACTTGGATTCCGGATTCAAATCGTTAGTGGGATTCCGGATTCCTTGATATGTATTTGGGATTCCACAGACCGATGATTCCAGGTTCCACAAGCAAAATTTTCTCGGATTTCGGATTCGACGAACAAAAATTTCTCTGATTCCGGAATCCGGATTCCTTCCGATGGGTCTCATCTTTACATCATCATCCTTTTCCGGAGGAAAGTGTGACGTCACGTAGCCATGGTAGCAAAAGTTCTGGATGACAACAACAGGGAGCTTACGATAACGGCAAAGGCAACAAGAACGGGAAAAAAGAATTGGTTTATAAAGCAAAACAACAACTTTGCACACGCAATGTTTATACATTTTTTAACCATCATTGTACGACTGCGACATGAAACTTCCTAATTTCACGCGCCCGCTTTATGGTACGTGAACACAGCATAAAAATAAATGTTTTTTTTCCTAACTTAGATGCGGCCCTTTCGGATTCAACTCCAGAAAATTTTGCCAAGATTTGACAAATTAAATGAAATTGAATAAGATTAGCGAGGTTTGAAACAGTGCGAATTCATATTTTAAGTGAGGTCTTCGGTTTGTTGTCATGCAGAAAATTTCCTATCATGGCAACGTGACTTATCGTCTTCAGTCCCCTCTATTGCCCATCTTGCTTATTAGCTACAGAGTTTAGTGCATGGTTGAAATAATTCAACTTTCCTCAGTTGGGCGGCTGAAGCTTGAGAAAGTGTGTCGCAGCATGTCAACGACGGTGTGTCGGATGTTTTTCATCTTCCAGCAGTAAATCAACGGATTAAGGGTTGAATTAAGAAACACAAGTGTCATAGTAAAAAACTGCAAATGCCTTAAGCTTGTGCTTGGTCCATTGGAAGCGATAGCAAATAAAACACAAGTATTTGGCAAATAGCAAACCAGAAAAATGACATACAGGTAGACCGATGCGATCGCAAACTTGCGCAATCTGATAACGTGGGCCATTTGACTGCTCTGGGCTACTTGAGGTCCTTGTAGAACGTGAATAACGTTTATTTGCTTTCGCACCAGCAAAACAATTCTGACACTAAACCAAGTGGCAGCCATATAACAAAGACACGCAAACATGGCAAAAAATCCGTACATGACCACCTTCGGCGTCCATAACCTAAGCAGCGAGAAAAGTCCGCTTAGAGCCCAAATTGAGATTACCGCAGTGGCAATGCGCTTGTGTGTCACAAGTTCTTGGTATCTGAGGGGTAGACGAATGGCCATGAATCTTTCTACACACAGTACTGCGAGAACATAGAACGTGACAGGGGCAAAAATATTTGTCAGAATTAGATGTGCGTTGGATATTCCAATATATAATGAATCATTTTCGTTGTGTTGTTTCCACTTCATGATAAGTTGTGTAACATACATGGGCTGTGCCAGTAAGCCAACGCCAAGATCAGAGATTGCTAGAGTCAGGAGAAGTGTTTTCAAATTTTTGGACAACGACGAAGTTTTCTTTATCGCATTAATTGTCACAATGTTCAACAGGAAAGCGGTGCAAGATAAAAAAGAGTTTAAGACGCAAAGTGCGAGAAACGACATTGTTCCAAGCCCGGTCTAGTAGAATTTTCAGTAAGGTTAACGTTCAATAATTATTAATATGATTATCAGCCTCTGAACTTCATGATCATCTTATGGTTTACTTTAAGAGAAGGTCTACTCTGGCTTCCTCATTAACAGAAGATAGTTAATTCAGATCGTTAATGGCGCTTGGTCCAAAGTAGTTCGAGTGATCACTAATACCTCGTCAAGAATCGGCAAATCCCCGACACAATGACAATCTCCTGACTGTTGAGTAAACGTAGATTCACCAATGCTACCGGATAGCAAATTCAGGAGGCAAAAATAAGTCTGTAGTCGGTAGAATTTTTGCTTGTTCTGTTTAACATGAATAAAAAAACCTTGGTGAGTTTTTGTGTAACTTGCTGTCCTTTTCTCGGCCACGCTATCAGACTTCACTAAGCTTTTGAAATTTTCCACCCTAGGGCTTTTTTTTCCTCTATACGTGCGTATATTTCTCAGATCAATTCGATAATTTGCATAGATATGATGTTGTATTTGCTCTTTAAATGGCTTGGAAACTAATTAAAGTCCGGAAATCTACTATCTATTGATATTAGTGAGTTTGATGGCTTTTTCGATTATTGTTATTTGATCTTTCATAATGAAAGTAGTAAGAGTTTTTGCAGCATGTCCTTTCTCCAAATAGGTGGCAGATATCTTTAAATATTTAAATTACTAAAATCAGCAGTTTGAAGTGAATTTCCTCCCGAGCTTGATTAGCCTGCGTAGCATGGCAGTTTTGGTTGGGCGCGCTAAGGGCGAGGGCAGAGACACTTGCAGGCTAGAGTTTGATATAAGTTGATGTCAGGGTATATGCAACATTCCCCTTTAACAAAATTGTCGATGGCTACTCGTCGATTTCTGTCGGTACAATAAAAACATGTTTTGGTTAAGTTATTAAAATTCTATTTGCCCTAGTTTAATTTTAATGTTTAGAAAAGGGGGGAAGTTTATTTAAAGAGCTGTTATACCCATCATCTTGGTGCCGAATAAGACCACGTCCAGCTCGTTTGACGATAAATAAATTCATCATAAAATGGTATTGATTAAGTTGCCACTTACTGCTATTTTGATGGCGAACGTAAAGAAAGTTTATTGAGAGAACAAGCGACCGGGGCTCGGTGCACAAATTACTGCATGTTTTTTATACTTTTTGTAGTTAATTTTTTTATCTCAGGTAATTTTTGTTTTTCTTTTGTTTGTGGGTATGGTAATGTATGCTGATGAAGTTGAAACAAAAGAAAAATATAAATAACCTGAGATAAAAAATTCACTACAACATACTCTTTTGCTTTTTGCATAACAAACAATTTCTTAATTGTTCATGATGCCGGAAACTGTATTTTTCAAACCTTGGAAAAAAATTTCAAACATTTAAATGTAGAAATACGCTTCACTCACCTCAACTTGGGTTTGTTGTTGCTTTTTCGAGGTAACCTGGCCATTTTCTTTGGTTTTATAGCTCGTTGTTGGCTCAGTTAACGTGTTTTCCTGCATACATATATAGCGAAGCAAGGCAGGTTAGTGCGTGCAAACTCAACTCACAAATCGCTCGAGCATCACAATACAACGTGAAATGATGATAAAACTCACCATCAGTCACAAACTCCTGAAGACCAGAAAGCTTTCACAATTCTCTCCTACTCGTCAGAATCAAGCAATGCCCTTTTGGTCGGAGAAATTTCTAAACGTTTTTGGTTCTGGGCAGTCGGACGTAAGCACGGGTTTCAACGGCCACGTGTTGCGTGAAGAACGCGAATCATCTCATTGGCCGCTTCCAAGCCCACGATCAGTGGACTCTCAAGAGACTCTAGGGGACGTTTTGTCACAGAATGTACAACCTCATGTTTCAAATTACAGTTACTACTGACTGTTACAGTGCATTCTAGATACTAAGTCGACAATTACGGCAACAACAACAACAACAAATAACACCAGCTAAAACTATAAAAAAGGGATACAGACCATCTTCTCAATCCTCGCCTCTCTATTTTAGCTCCGCAAAGTCGAAGCATCTTCCTCAGTTAAGGGACTGTACAATAATTACGTAGGAGGGGGGGGGGGGTTGGGAAATGGGTGAAATATGCCCCAAAACTAAGTCATGTCCCACCTCTCATTAAGCAAAAATTAATTTCAACCCCCTCAAATAATGATAATATTAAGGCTAACCCCCCCCCTTGAAAAAAGTCTCCTCCCATTGATTCCCTCATACCTAGTTTACTTGTTGGATTTCTTCCTCCGGTACAAACATCACTTCAAATGACTCTTCGACATATGTTGAAGAGTCATTTGAAGAGTCATCAGAATCACTGGACTCTGAGCTTGTGTCGTCTTCGCATGAATTGGGAGATTCCTTATCTTCTACAATGCATCTCTAGCACTGAGGTTCCCGCGTGCGTGGGTGGCATGAGAACTCGATCAATCAACTAAGCCATGCTTCCACTTATCTTAAGACCTTTTTACTTTAGATACATTTTCATCAGCTTGTTGGTAAACGCTTTTACATCTTTTATTTACCATACTTTAAATTTGTATTGCTACTAAAATTTCAACAGTTGAGTTTTTCATTCTGCTAAATTATGATGCCATGTGTGCTAATATTAGCATCTTTCTTTTTCATTCAATAACATTATATTGCTACTTTTGCAACTTTTAATTAAAGTTTCCTGTTTTATTAAATCCTGGTGCAAATAAAGTAGCACTGTTTTAACATATATAACAGAGGCATTCCTTTCCTACTGCATGACAGATTGGAAAACAACAGTTCATAGATCAGAACACAGGTCTTAGATTTATATTTGAACTCTAATAACTCTTCCACTTCTTTTCCAGTTTGCAAAAAGGAATGAAAAAGTAATCCCCCCCCCTATATGTATCAAATTTTACATCCAACCCCCCTCGATCTTGTTGTCATTTTCTCCTATGCCCTCCCTCTAATTTTTCAACCTCACCCCCCTCCATCTTCCAGCAATCCAGCAATCCAGCGGATTTAGGGATGAATTAAGAAACACAAGTGTCGTAGTGCAATACTGTAAAAGCTTCATATACCAAAGCTTGGTCCAGAGGAAAACGCCACAATAAAGGGCATACAAATATGTGGCAAATAGCAGATCAGAGACACCATACATACGTAAACTGATGGGAGTGGTGGTGAATTCGTGAAAAAAAATGCATTTTTCACCAACTCCACTTTTTGGCAAATTAGCATGAGAATTGCTAAAAATGAGTTTCGCAACGATAAGGGCATACGAAAGACACGTCATATGGCGCCCGGTTCGTTTTCCCATCGTCCACTGAAGCTTATATTCTATCATGATCAGTCTATATCAGCCATCTCAGGAACAGATCAGGCAATTGATGAACCCAAATTGTTTGTATTCAAGATCAGCCTTGCTGCTTTGTTTGTAACCATGTCACAGACTCTCACTAACTTTTTCCAAAAAAGATTCGATAACATAATTTAACAGCGAGTTGGGGAGGGAGGGGGAAGGGGGGGATTGAATGGCAAGCATTCACCCACAGATCTGGGGATAAATAAACGTCACGCTCAAAACAGGGTGAGCCAATAGTTAGACAGACGTTACAGCTTTACTGTAAGAAGATTCCACAGTAGTAAATTACTGGCGGAGTATCTACCTCATTAGCAGAATAACTGTACAGAAAAACGGAAGCCGACACAATTATCCCCCCTGAACACAACCCTCGACCCCCGGTATCTAGTTACCCGGAAATTGACCTGACCTACTGAATTTATTCTCGCGATCATGAACATCACACATACTTGAATCGGATCAAACCAAAACTTTCTTTGCTTCTGGTAAAAAATCTTGGAAACAAATTTTTACGGGGGTGAGTGGGCACACCTTGATCACGAGCTAAAATTGTCAAATTAGAGGTGCGTTTAAGTTTTTTTTTGGTTCTGTTTTTGTCTTTTCTATTTTTGTTCTAATGCTTCGTTAGGTTGTTGATGCAGACGCCATTGTTTGTTTACGTAGCTATGCCTGATTCAAGAAAGAAGATCGCTTCACTTTTTAGCTCTAGCGTGGCAAGGTAATTCATCCGCAGTGCTAAATATTTGCAGTTTAATGTCTATAATACACACTTACGTTTTTTACAACGTTTCATATATTTCCGAAGGATCCTTGCCGAAGGTTAGTTTCTCCACTGTTCACTTTCCAACGCACGTTCATTCAGAGACTATAATTGCCCAAAGAATATCTTTCGGGGTTAATTCCATATCTCTGAATCACTATCCGTTCTTGTCTTCGCCGCCCTATTCACTTTTATCGAAGTTTGCAGAAAATCTGTAGGCCCTTAGGCCTCGCTGTCATGCTTACTTCGTGAGTGCGTATCACTGAATTGCTTTGCTTGTTTTTAGTCACAAATATGAAACTTCTTCTGGCAGAGAACGTTATACTGAACACAAATCCAGAAATGAATACTCAGCAGCGAAAATAAAGTTTCATGAGCGCTGATTTCTTTTATAATTGCCTTGTTTCTTCGGTGATTTAATGTTTTGGAAGACATTCACAGTTACGTTCCTGAATATCCGTAAAGCATCATGACCGGTTACGAGTCGATAATCAAGCACAAAAGTATTTGCTTACAGTTTATAGTCATATTATTTTGTCTTATAACGCCATTTTTAAAGGCTATAAGTCAAGGTTGACAACAAGAAAAAGACTGTAAAAAAAGCCAAAAACATCGAAAACCCTTGTCCCATGTCCGCCATTTTGAAAACTGAATTTTTCGCCCTGTTCACTCCAAAATAAAAAACGGCTGTCGACATATTGTGACGTCACTGCGCTCGTCCAATTGTTTTACAGTTCTTGGAAGACTGACCAATTTCCGATTTTCGGGCTCAATATGATAAAGCCTTTTTGTAATGCGATTCCTTGAATGTATCACTTCAGAAGGTAAGCTTAATAGCCTTGTATGTTGTAGTGCTTTTTGTCTTACAGTCGTCATGCAGGGTCTAAAGATCAAAGCAGTAAACTCGATGGTGATGAAGAAAGAAAACCAAGCTGTTCTCGACGACTGGAACCCAGAGCAAGTGACAGAGGGGAAGATTACGAGAGTGATGACGATAATGATGATGATGATGATGATGATGATGATGATGATGATTATGATAATGATGACGAAAGCAATGATGACGACGACGACGACCATGATGATGATGATGATGATGATGATGATGATGATGATTGCATTGGTGATGATGACGATGATGATGAGAGTGAAGTTGCTGAAGACGAAAATTCGAACCAGACAACACGTAAGCTTAAGTCGCTGCGTACATGAAGGTCAAAAGAACTTATGACCGTCTAAGTAATTGTTACATACGACTAGGCTCTAGCTATGCTCGGTAAGCAATGGTAAGGTATGGAAATTAATCGTAACATTATCCACTCACTTTTAGACGACGAATGCGCACAGAAAGAAGGCCATTCCCTTTCGCCTGCGTCGTCAAAGTCCAAATCAAAAGGTTTCGGAAAAAGGCTTTTTGGAAAGTTTAAGAAGGTAAGGTAGAGTCGATCAGTAATAGCTTTTTTAATTTAGCGAAATTCGTGTTAAGACACATTTTCTTTTTCAGTCTTCATTACTACGTTACAATATGATCACTAAACTGAAGGGTTATTAAAGAGACACATTTTAATCGCTGGCAAGCCTTAGTAAGACACAAAGCTATTTGCTCCCTCAATATTCGTTATCTTTAATTCTCTATAAAATTTTAATCGCTTCTCCTGTTACCAACAAAATGATCTACCCCGCAAAAACAGCACCCACCTATTTATTGAAATTATTAGTCTACTTCATTTTCATTTAGTGAAATTAAAGTGTTAGCACTTGACTCCGGTTTGAAAAAAGGTCATCCAAAGTTCCCTTTTGTAAATCATACAATTTTCAATCTGCTTTTTAATTTTTGCCTATCGTTTTGTATGATAACTCGGAAGACATAAAAAACCCCAAGCGGCCTGTGACGTTTTGATAGCTCAAGGCAGAGCCTTTTCGAGACGTTTGGTAAAAGTACATGTAAAACAAGATCGATCTGCTATCGCCAAGGGTGCGAGCCAGTGGTAAGATCTGGGGCACGCCTCCTTCATACACTCTTTTTCTTTTATAAGAATATGTTTTATAAGAATATCGAGGCTGAAATTTGCGAAATTTTAAGAATGTTTTAAGAATAAAGCCGAGGCTGAGATTTTGAAAAGGATAGATATAATTTTGGGTGTTGAAACATCTGTAAATACAATACAATTTTATGTTTTTAACTTAACCGTATAAAATTATTCCTTTCTAGCTCGGAACGGCGAAACTGGCCAACAAAACGAAAAAACCTGCTCTAGCTATAGCAAAATGTTCAACGCTAATGAACGGTACATGTAATACGTATACATATACCCCAATACATTCTAAAACGGAAATCAGTCATAAGCTATAATTTTTAAGAATAATACAAGAATATTTTCAGCCTAAAATCGGCAGAAAAATAAGAATATTCAGCCTGGGCCGGAAAAACAACATTCTTATAAAAAAAAAAGAGTGTACCATCCTCCCAGAAAAGTTTGAAATGTGGAAGCTCGAAAACGCTATTCTCGGAATGTTTCATAAGGTCTTGCTATGTCATGGCCGGACCTTTATTGGCATAGATCTGCGATCACCGAGGCCGCAATCGGGTAGCCGGGGCGGGGGGATGTGCGGGAACACGCACGTCTCCCTCACTCCTTCCTCCCTGAAACTTGGAATCTACGGATTTAGAAACGCTGTTTCTGGAATGTTTCACAAGGTGTTTCTTCAGAAAAGTCAATCTCATTCATCTAGGGATTACTTTGCAAATTAAACCATTTTTTCTCTAATTTTAGCTTAGTGAAAATCTATAGACGAGGCAAGTACCTTGTCTTACCTCTTTTGCTAGCTATTGCCCCACAACTTACCGGCAACTTAGATCTTGTGAAAGGTTTGAGCCCACGCCGGAGTCATTTCATAAGTTGGCTGAGCATGATCGTTCGGGTGAATGTAGTCCTGAATAGGACTGTTGTTGACATTGACTGATGTTTCGACAACTTGTGGGGTAGTCATTTTCAAAGTCAAAGTGAGTTGTATCAAGTCAGTTGATGGTATGGTATTGACTTGGTTGGTCAATTAATTAAGTCGCAATCTTAGTGGTCGTCTGTCAGTTAAGCCGTGATGTTAGTTTCTATGAAGAGTCGAAATGTCATTGCATTTTGGTGCGTGTCGATCCGTCTATTGTCACAGTTTAACAGTCGTTTATTGTTAGTCAAATTGTCGGTTGTCCAGTCTCGTAGTTAGTTTTGCTTGAGTCCATCAATAAATCGTTTGTACGGTGCCGGTAACTGTTGATCTTGCCTACTTTTGTTATTTTATTTCACTCAGCTCAAGCCAGACCGAAAGTACCAGGGACTTTTAGCCCAAATTACCTCCTTGGAAAGCGAGAAAGCAGTCGCTGAGTCCAAAATTGACCAGCTACAACTTGATATGTCTAACGAGGCAGCAGAAGTAGAAAAGGCACACAAAGAAAGAGACGATTTAAAGGTTGAAGTCTCGAGATTACAGTTGGAGGTAAAAGGACCAAAAACAAAGTTAGCAAGAAAGAATATTAAGACACTACATGTATTTAGGAATGGGATAAGGCACAGACCATGCGGTCTTTTGAGGTACTTTGTCAACTTGAAGACGTTTCAGAATGCGACGAAAATTCCGCAGGTTTTTATGAAGTATTCTAATTAACAATTATTCTACCAGTGCGCGTTGGACAGGAGATGGTAGGGGCCAAAGTGGCGCGTAGCGCCGAGTTGGCTATAATCACCTCATATCCAACAAGCGCGAGTTGAAGAATTGTTTTATCAAAAACGCCCACAAAATATCGAGAATTCTTCCCGATCTTTATTTGTAAAACCAACCGATTTTCAGCTTGTTTTTAATTTTGAACAGACGCGTACAGTTACCATATTTGGAGAGCATGGTATAATGGCTCATTTACCATGAAGGCTAAGCAAATCAGAGCTCTAGAATTCTATTACTAAATGATTCAGTTTTTAATAATACTTGTTATTACCAAAACCGTTTTTCTTCAACGGCAACCAGTTTATCAGTGGTATTCATGTTTCCACTAACGGGAAATTTACCGTATGTAGGCTTTCCCACCTCCATCTTCCCTCCCACATCAACAAAAGGTCGGTTCTCAAAATTCTGGTTGCACTTTTAAAACAACCACTGGGAACTGTAGAAATATTATTTATCCTTATTATTTTATTCTTTTAGCTCGAAAAGGCACAATCGGAGATGGAAAAGATGATCGCTTCGGAAGCTCTTGAGGTGAGCGCATGATCCTTTCCCCCCGTGTTGTTTCAATTTTAACTGGCCAGGAGCCCGTTTCTCGAAAGTCCCGGTAACTTTACAGGCCCGAAATCAAATATTCAAATAGAAATATAAAGAATAAGAGCGCGGGTCCTGGCTAGCAAAATACTCCATTTTGTTTCATTAACTGACAGTTTTATCATGTTAGATGCAAAACTATTGAAACCTCGATCTTTAATGTAAACGGAGACAGCAGTAGCGGGCCCGTTAATTATCGGGACTTTCGAGAAACGGGCTCCAGGTATGTTAGGAATGAGTTGTGGAGTGTTAGCCGTTCTCATTGCCGTCGCCGTCGCTGTCGCCGTTGCCGTTGCCGTTGCCGTTGCCGTTGCCGTTGCCGTTTGTCATGTGTGTAGTTTGTTGTTGTTGTTGTTTTTTTTCAATATCGAGCAGTACGTTAATCCAAGGTTCATGTTTTTACCGAATTAGATGCGTTTGTGCGAAGGTTATTTATGGAAGCGGGGCGTGCGAGGACCTACGGGAAGGAATTGGAGGTATCGCTGGTTTAAAGCAAAGAAGAATGGCGAGATCCGTTATTACAAGAGAGACGGAAAGATGAAGACTTTAAGAGGGTTGGTATCTGAGTAAATATAATTGTTGTCTTTAATAACACTGTCTGAACACATTCACCCACTAGGTTAATTCAGCTATCGTACTGCGTTGTATCTCTGGAAAAGATGAAGCTAAATAAATGCTGTCCAGTCCGTTAGTTGGAGAGAAGCGCATAAGAGCTCCTCTTAATTCCCTTATGTAACTAAACGAGTGCCTGATCCTGGGGCTAAAAGGTCGCACTGTGTAAGGTAAACGTTGCAAGGCGTATTATGTTAATTGACGGAGCAAGTTTTTCGCGACTAACTTTAGATGATTCCATGCAGCGCAGATAGGCGAGATTATACGCACAAAAAAAATTAATAATAACAATAGAGAATACCGCTTTCACAAACATAACAATACAGTCACGAAATACTCTTTTACTGACAAATCAGAGTTGACGTAACATTAAATGTTAAATTCGCCACATCGGATGGACTAATGTATTTTTACGTTTGTAGATCCATAGATGTTCGCATGATCACTGAAGTTACCGATCTGCCAGATTCGGAACAAAATGAAGAGAATTCCTGCTTTAACATCATTACACCTGATAGAACTTATGAGATAAAGGGAATTGACGAGGACGAAAAATTAAGGTATGAAAAAGTTGTAACTCCACATCTTTGTTTTGTTTTTGTTTTTTAGTCTTTATTGGCGAAATTTCTTATCAAAGCAGGCAATATTTTTGCAGCGATCATCCTTCTATTTAGGTGGGTACCCCTTCAAGGATAGAAGACGAATCTTCGGAGTCGCATGAGAGAAAATAGAAAATTCTATCAAAACCTGTTTATTAGTCAACACTATGGAAACGATCTGTGTGACTAGAGGGGGGGATCCAGGATTTTTCTTAGGAGGGTGGGGGGGGGGGTGGGGAGATGGTGGGCGGACTCTAAAAAATTTTTTTCGGTCTAAAAATAAGGGGGGGAGCGGGCCCCCCTGGGCCCCTCCCCTGGATCCGCCACTGGAGGGGATGCACCACTAAGGAATGGCAGAAGGGGGGGTGTGCACTCCATGCACCCTCCCCCCTAGATCCGCCCCTAGACTATACGCTCAGGCACACATGACTTCTTTTTCCTGCTAAATCATCCAGCTTCGATAACGGATTTTGGGATATTTGTTATAACCTTAGACAAGTAGAAACCACTGAAAACGCTTCATATGTTTTTCTCTTGATAGGTGGATGAAAGCCATTAAAGATTTGATTTACTGGATAAATCAAAAAGATGGAAAGCAGTGAAAAACTCTGAGGAAATACAAACAGTGGCTCTTCTATCAGCGACCCCGGCTTTGAGTAGAGGCAATTAATGACCTGGGGCCGGTTGCTCGAAGCCTGGTTAGTGCTAACCGTTGGTTAAGAGGTATCAAAATGTATAGGTTTCCATGGTATTTAACGTTGGTTAGCACTAACCATGCTTCGAGCAACCCGGGCCTGGTCAATTGCTGAAAATACTCCAGTTTGGGGAAAAGGACACGGCATCTTTATAGTTTTTAAAAATACAAGTATTTATTATTCATTCAAAATTGTTCTTCGTTTTTTACTGGTTTGCATCCCGGGTTAACTCTTCATGGCCAGTCTGCGCTGACCAAGTCAGTGAGATATCATATGCTTTCTGATATTTTACCTGTATTTTATTTCTGTTATTTTATTGTTATTGAGGTCAAGAGTGATTATCACTCATTCAAAACAATTTCGCCTTTGCTGATTGGCTCCAATCCCCCGGGTTAATTCTTCATACCCAGCTAGCCTTGACCAAATTTGAAAGATGTTTGCGATATCCATTACTAATAGCGTAATTAGAACAGGCTATCGCCAAAAGAAAGGGTCAAGGGGAAGAGGCTGCTTTAGTTCGGATATTGGAAGAGCTGGAGAAAATAGCTAAAAATTATTTGCGTTCAAGGTGGAGGAGAAATTGTCCGAACTTCTGCCTAAAACATAGCAAGAACAGCAAAAATCAGGAGCCTGCAAAAATACTCTCAACGTATGATAACTGCTATTTGAAGAATATCTCCCGAAGAATAGTGGTTGAATTTCAAAAACGCAAAGCGTTGAGGTATATATCTAGCGCTGTTCACCGACCCTGAGGGGATAGTTGTTTTAGTATTTACCAAATCAGTTGGATAAAACTGAAAAAAGTAACTTTTTTCATTTGTAAATTAAAAACGTCACTTGGTGGGTACTTTGTTTACAATTTACAAAAATTTCGAGGATTTTGTCAAGTGCATTTTTACGATTTTGTTGCAAATTCAGCATGAAAATAATTTTCTACCTACCAGTAAACAATAACAAGCCAGAGTTCGTCGCTTTCTTGGTATTTGTATGTATGACGGCTTCATTTATCGCTCAAATTTCGTCTTTCGAAAATGTCTCGAAACGAGACGCCATCTTGGCTCCGGTCGCAAAACAGTGAATAGCCAAGGATATTCCGAGTTACGGGAGCCAATCAAAACGCGCGAAAATTGCTATTTACTGATTTGGTGAATACTAAATATCCTGAATTTGCTGACAATTGAAACAAATGATCCCATTTCCCTTATAAATCGATAATAAATAATAACTAGAAACCTCATTGTGGTTATCATTGATAGAGAGATTAAGATTCATGTTTACGCCAAACGGCAAACGTAAATTTGTACCACGTGACCAAGTTTTTCCCTTAATTGTCGTTAACTGTTTATTACTTTAACTAAAAAACTAAGTAGTTTCACGCCAGTTTTATACATAATAATTGTTCTGGGAAGTTTCTATCTGATTATTTTCTATTCTGAGAAATTCTCAACTTGAATCTGACGTTTGCCGTTTGGCGTAAGCGTGAATCTTTATCTCTCTACTAAGAGACAGAGAAAAGCCTCAGCATCTTTTCTTTGAAGCGTTAATTTTTTAAAATGATTTACAAAAAATATAGGCATTTATTTAGTACCTTTATTGCAGATTAAAATAAAACAGTGTTGTGTAAAAATAATGCATTGATGTTGCCGTAGTCCCATCTTTTAAAGACTCTGGAAAGCGGTTGTGAGCCACCTTGATTAAATATCCAAAAGTGCTTTTTCTAATACTAACAAAGTTTGTTCTTATCTCTTCCTTGAATCATAAGTTGGTCTTTTAATGTCGACAAATAGAGGTAAAGTACTCACAAAGATCTGTCAAAACATCTCCGTGTAAATGAAATAGTCCTTGTCTACAAATTCATGTGCAAACAACGCTTTTTTACCATTACTGAGATACCAAGTCGTAGTTGCAAGTCAGACACTCGTCATCTTCCATGCAACTTTTAATGCATGGAAAAACTTAAGAGAGCACAGAAGATATAGGGCGCTGTGCAGAAGGACATTCTGTCTTCAACCTGAAATTAAATACGGTTATTAGAATTGCACAAAAGGTGGCAGATGAGACGCTTTAAGGAACTAGACACCTTTAACAGGTACTGGTTAAGACTATTTACTTAAAACTTAAACCAGTCAAACAACACAGCCACACGTTGGTCACCACTACCGAAGTATAACTAGGCTAGCCAAAGCGACGGATGTCGTAATAAAACGAATGATTTTACCGGTATTGGTGTTTTCGAATTTAGTGTTGACCCAACAAATTTATTCTGAGGAGACAAACGGCGCGCACGCGCATAACCGTGATCGCGTACCTTTAATCTCGGTGGGGTGTTGGCGGGGGGTTATTAGTTTAGTGCTAGCGCTAATTAAAGCTTTTCATCTACCTCTTTCACATACCTTGTTTAGAGCTAGCGCTTTGCACTCCTTTCAACTGCTGTAAATGCAAACGTTGGTGAAAACAGTTGTGTAGTTATGGTGAGTTATCAAAAGCTGTTATGAAACTTTAAAAGGGTTTAAGAAGATGTTTGATCATGGAGGTTCAGAAGAGCATCGTGGCCCTCCGGTAACAGGACGTTCTCAAGAGTCTTTGAAGATAGAGAAGCTTAGCCGATCGATCTGGTATGGTTCTTGGAGTACTGTGTGGCTTACGAAAAGAATACACGACTCTTGGAAAGTGGTTAAAGGCATGCATGAGTTCGTTCACCTTTGATTTGATTTTTGACTCCGACCTGTAGTTATACCGCAACAGGCCGCGTGATCTTCACCGATCTGATACACTTGAAATGTTCCTTGTATCTTTGCTGTATGATCGTATATGATTAAGAATTGATGTTTTAAAATAAGTTATTGCCTGAATATTCTGTTTATAATCTAGTTTCTTTATGTGTTCAACTCGATAACATTTGTTTTGCGGAACACTGACCCGATGCGACGCGAATGAATTTGTTCCATTGAAATTTATGCTCAATTAAGGATAATCTTTATACTCATACGTTGAGTGTTTTTGTCACCGGTAAGGCGCTATTTGTAGGTATTTCTCGGTTTATATAAGGCGAACTGAGAGAACAGTAATAAAATGTTTGTTTACAAATTTTGTTTGCCGATCGGTGACTGCTTTGTTAGCGTGGGTACGACCTCGTAAAAATACACGTTGGTAAATGTTTGTTTCAAAGAAGGACAGGGCTGTAAATCGTATTCTTATTGGCCGTAACATATATCTAAGGAGCAGCAAAGAATAAGCTTGAATTATGGGGATATATAAAATCAAACCATATGCCCGGAAATACTCTCGCGTTGCCAACAATGAATTTGAATTTGTAAATTTACTTGCGTGCATCTAACTCGCTTCCGATTGGTTTAAAAACAATCAGCTACTGTCAGAACTCACACATGCGCATTATCGTGAACCAGTTCCTTTAAAACTTCGAACACCTAGCAGGAGCCCGGAACTATGACTGACCAATAGAAACAGCCTTTAATTATTCATTTGGTCATACTTGCACGGTCAGGGGGCTCCCAACATCAGCCGCCGTTGATCACAGTCGTCTGTGGTTAGCTTCCCCAGCTTTCATATTCACGGTCCTATATTGCTATGTTCAGACTCAATTGCTTGTTCACTTAGGCTTTGGAAGACTCAAGAAGAAAGATCGCTAGAGATTATAGCGGTAACATGGCAAGGTACAAGCTTCATTTGAATTGTCTCCACCCTCTGCTGATTTTGTATAACATTATTATGTCCGCGTGTGATAATTTCTGTCCTTGCGTTTTAATTAATCGTTGGTTAGAGCATTCATTGTCACATTTACGGGTTATCTCTTGTGCTAAGCTTGTTTGTCGCTGGCAGTTTACTAAAACACAAAGCATGAGTTCTTTCTACTCGGCTTATTAGGTTTCAAGTTAAAAATTCCATGTTTACCTCTCACCACTTGAAAGGAATTCTATTATTTTCTAATTCCATAGGGGTGTAAGCAGAGGTTTTTGAGGAAAGGGTTAAGAAATAGACCTTGTTTCGTATGCTTGCATGCTTGCTTAACGAACAACTGACTGCATGGTTTAAATTTACCAGCTAATTGTTGATACCAGCTAGCGCTGACCAAATATGGAAGACGGTTGTTTTGATAGTGAGAACAGCGGAGGATTTCACACGATTTGCGAAGAAGAAATAGCCGAACTACTGCCTAAAAAGATCCCTAAAATACCATTCAATAAGTGATAACTCCTATTTTAAGAATATCTCCTAGACAAAACATCTCTTCACATCCTGAGAAACAGAAAAATAAAGACAGGAACTTTGCATCGATGGAGGTAAAATCTGAAACATTTTGAATGAAAGATAAAACAATTAATTTCGTCTGGAGTCCATAACCCGGAGCAAGCAACTCCGGCCCCCACTGACTAGGCTTAATGTCACAGTGTTTTGATGGACGGGTTCATTTTATATAGAGTCCGTGAAAATGGAAGCCCAGCTCCGCCCATGCATGCATGAGGGAATTCGAAGTGTACGATATGAAAAAGTACATGATACTTTCTCTCTTACAGTGCTCAAAGAAACCAAAGCTCTTTCTGTTTCGATGAAGAAACTGAAGAAAGAAGATTAAGGGGTTCTCGACGGCTAAAATACAGTTCAAGTGACAAAGATCACGATAAGGATTATGATGATGAAAGTAAAGAAGAAGAGGGAAGCGAGAGGCAACCGAAAGGCAAGCTAAACGGCTAACGTATGATCTAGCTATGTCGTTAATTTTTTAGCAGCTTACAAAACCTTGTCGTAAAACATAAGTTCCTTAACTTAAATTCTGTCTTAGGTTAAACCAAGATAGGACATTTTAATTGCAATTTTTGAATAATAATAATAATAATAATAATAATAATAATAATAATAATAATATGATATAGAGATTACAGAAAAATGGTACGAACACGAACCAGAGACCGTGACACACAATAAAGATAACAACATCACCATCATGTGGGACATGCCAGTCAATACTGATAGAACTATAACAGCGAACAGACCAGATATCATCGTTAAAGATTCAGTGAATTCCACCTGCAAACTTATTGATATGACTGTTCCATCAGATAGAAACATCGCACTGAAGGAAACTGAAAAAAAATGCAAGTACAAAGACCTAGAACTAGAAATACAGAGAATGTGGCATATGAAAACCGTAATGATCCCTGTGGTTGTTGGCGCGCTTGGTACAGTGAAGAAGCTAGGGTATGGTAGAAAACATCAAGAAAGTATCAGAGAGAGCTACTATGGCAGAGATTCAAAAGATCTACATGCTGGGATCTGCACGAATCCTTAGAAAGGTGCTCAGTATATGAACAGAATGATTGACTTGAGTGACTGACGCTCTAGGTGCATGGTTTGCGCCCGGCTGATGCACAAAAAGAACACCAGCAAAGACTGTGATAATAGAGACAATAATAATAATAATAATAATAATAATAATAATAATAATAATGATCATGATGATGACGATGATGATGATGATAATAATGACAATGATAATGATAATGACATACGAGGCAAAATATTTCTGTTCACTTATAAGCTATTGGTAGTCACTGAGATAAAGACAGTGCCCTGCTTGGACTCAAATAGCATAGTCATTATGATAAGATTTGGAACTCTGCAGGGGCGACAACTACTTTGATGTGCCACAAACTCTTTAGTGGAGACAATCTTAGACTTTCTCACACTGTTACGATTATCATTGATAGCAAAAAACAAAAAATCAGACAGCTCCACATAAATGAAGCGGGCGGGAATATAAAGGGTTTTTTACTAGGCCTAACTCACGTATTTTGAAGTTTTACACCACGCGGCATGTTAGTAATTCGCATTCTTTCTCTCCACTGACGCATCCAGACCTTCAGATAAGGGAAGAGGGGCCAGTCATCCAGACCCTGAGTGAACGGGGGGGAGGGGGGGTCCCGGTCTCAAAAAAACTTTTTTTTTCGGGCCTCAGTTTGGTCTAAAACTAAAGGGGGGGTCCCTCCCCTGGATCTACCACTGCTCTCTCCCTACAAAGCAACCAATAATTGTTGGTAATATCAAACACTGCTCACCCTTTCAGACACAGACGTATCTAATAAGAAGAAAAAATCATCCTCTGCTGCTTCCACCAAGCCCAAATCGAAAAGTTTCAAAGTTTCGTGTTTTGGAAAGCGAAAGAAGGTAATATTAAAGTCACCTAGAATAGACTCGATTTCCGGCGCTCTCTTACATGTATGTCCGGTCTAGTGTTGACCTGAACCTGAACGGTTGTAGCAAAGCAGTAATTTTTCTCAATTTGGTATTTTTCTGAAATTTTTCTGAAATGGCCGGAAGACTTCATACGCTTATAGGATTCATTACATGACCGAAAATATACTGCTTCTAATTGGTGATAAATTAATCAGCAAAACTTGAACTTTTTACCGTTACCAATTAAAAGCAAAGTGAAGGGAGAATGTTTCCCTGTCACGAGCTTTCTACCTTTCAAAAAAGTCTCAAAAGACAATTTTTATCACTTTAGCCTGCGTGCGTGCAAGCTTTCCTGCCGCTATTTTAGTGGCAAAGGGAGAATGGGGGATAAGTGCCCATTGTGCATTTTTTTATATATTTCCTCAGCTCAAAAACGACCGCAAGCACCAGCAACTTTTGGGTGAAATTGAGCACTTGAAAAGTGAAAAGGATGTCGCTGAGTCTAAAATCAGACAACTACAACTTCAAATGTCTATCGAGGAGGAAGAGGTCTCCAAGGCCCAAGAGGAAAGAGACGAGTATAAGGCAGAAGTATCAAAACTACAGCTTGAAGTGGAAGGATTGAAGGCACATGTAGCAAATAATGATAACGATAATGATAATAATGATTATGATGACGATGTTGTTGATGATAATGATGATGATGATGATAAGATGCTTCAAGTTGCCAGGAAATGCCTTCGTTTATCAATCCCACGTTACATGACAGACTTAACCCAGTTAACCCTTGGACCTATAAGCGGGGAGGGGAAGTGGTTGCCACCCCCCTCTGAGGCTTTCAAAGTTTGTTCATTTAAAACATTTAAACAGCAGCACCTGACCTTTTCGGTAGTTGTTCGTTTATCCCTCGCTGGCATTGTAAGACAATTCTATTGATTGCCAGTTACTATGGTTACAAGATATGACGTCATAAGTAGCAGGTGGTCAAGCCATTTTTGAGAGAAAATGCACGTTTTCCAACTTTTTTTAACAATAAAAGTAAAACTTGTAGTATAAAGTTCTTCTTTATGTATTATTTTACATGTCAAGCACAAAAACTTACCATATATTGCGATTTTAACCTGATTTCGCACCTCCTCGTCAAGAAATTAAAGATCTGTTCTCAAATACTGGTTGCACTATTAAAATAACCACTGGGAACTGTGGAAATATTATTAATTTCTTTTTATTTTCTTCTTTTGGCTCGAAAAGGCACAATCAGAGATGGAAAAAAATGATCGCTTCGGAAGCTCTTGAGGTGAGCGCATAAGGTTTTTGCGCGTTTTTGAATAATAGGTCTCCAAAAAAATTTTTTTTCGGCCCTTCAAGCCCCATTTTGGTCTAAAAATAGGGGGGGGGGGGGAAGCGGGCCCCCTGGGCCCCTTCCCTGGATCCGCTACTGGAGGGGATGCACCACTAAGGAATGGCGTAACTGCTGGTGACGTAAACAAATTTTTAAAGTGAATACGAAGAAGAAGGCATGTGACTAGGCAATAACATAATGTGAACTGCTGAAAATACATATCATACAGATCTACATATTTTGCAGAATAGCAGTTGTATTAGAAAGCCGCAGGTTATCTGGGGGGGGGGGGGGGGTTGCGCACCTCCTGCACCCTCCCCCTAGATCCGTCCCTGGACTATACGCTCGGGCACACATGAGTTCTTTTTCCTGCTAAATCATCCAGCTTCGATAACGGATTTTGGGGGTATTTGCTATAACTTAGACAAGTAGAAACCACTGAAAACGCTTAATATGGCTTTCTCTCGATAGGTGGATGAAAGCCATTACAGATTTGATTTACTGGATAAAGCAAAAAGATGGAAAGCAGTGAAAAACTCTGAGGAAATACAAGCAGAGACTCGTCTATCAGCGACCTTTGAGTAGAGCCGGTTATTGACCTGGTCAATTGACGAAAATGATCCAATTTGGGGAGAAGGACATGGCATCTTTATAGTTTTTTCAAAAATACAATTATTTATCATTCATTCAAAATTGTTCTTCATTTTTTACTGGTTTGCATCCCGGGTTAACTCTTCATGGCCAGTCTGCGCTGACCAAGTCAGTGGGATATTACATGCTTTTTGTTATTTTACTTGTACTTTATTTCTGTTATTTTATTGTTATTGAGGTCAATCGTAATTATCATTCATTCAAAACAATTTCTCCGTTTCTGATTGGCTCAAATTCCCCGGCTAATTCCTCAAAACCAGCTAGCGTTGACCAAATTTGGAAGAAGTTTGCGATATCCAGTAAAACAGCGTAATTAGTATACAACTATCCCCCAAAGGGAAGATGAATAGTGGTGTGTGTATATATCTAGCGCTTTTCACCGACCCTGAGGGGGATAGTTGTTTTAGTATTAACCAAATCAGTTCATAAGACTGAAAAAAAAGTAACTTTTTGTAAATTAAAAATGTCACTTAGTAGGAACTTCGTCTACAATTTACAAACATTTCGGGGATTTTGTCAAGTGCATTTTACGATTTTGTTGCAAATTCAGCAGGAAAATAATTTTTCTACCTCCCAGTGAACACCGAGAAGCCAAAGTTCGTCGCTTTCTTGGTATTTGTTTGTACAACTGCTTCATTTATCGCTCAAATTTCGTCTTCCCAAAATGTCTCGAAACGAAACGCCATCTTAGCTCCGGTCGGAAAACAGTGAATAGCCAAGGATATTCCGAGTTACGGGAGCCAATCAAAACGCGCGAAAATTGCTATTTACTGATTTGGTGCATGAATACTAAATATCCTGAATTTGCTGACAATTGAAACAAATGATCCTATTTCCCTTATAAATCTATAATAAGTAATAACTAGAAGCCTCAGTGTGGTTATCATTAATAGAGAGATAAAGATTCACGTTTACGCCAAACGGCAAACGTGAATTTGTTCCACGTGACCAAGTTTTCCCCTTAATTGTCGTTAACTGTTTATTACTTCAACTAAAAAAAATAAGTAGTTTCACGCCAGTCTTATACATACAAATTGTTCTGGACAGTTTTTATCTGCTTTTTTCTATTCTGAGAAATTCTCAGCTTGAATCTGACGTTTGCCGTTTGGCGTAAACGTGAATCTTTATCTCTCTAATAAGGGTCAGAGAAAAGCCTCGACATCTTTTCTTTGAAGCGTCAATTTTTACAAAAAATATGGGCATTGATTTAGTACCTTTATTGTAGATTAAAATAAAACAGTGTCGTTTAAAAATAATTCATTGATGTTGCCGCAGTCCCATCTTAAGACTCTGGAAAACGTTTGTGAGCCACCTTGACTAAATATCCAAAAGTGCTTTTTCTAATACCAACAAACGTTTGTTCCTATAACTTCCTTGAAACATAAGTTGGTCTTTTAATGTCGAAAAATAGATATAGAGGTAAAGTACACATAAAGGTCTGTCAAAACATCTCTGTGTAAATGGAGTAGTCCTTGTCTACAAATTCATCTGCAAACAACGCTTTTGTATCATTACTGAGATGCCAAGTTGTAGATGCAACTCACACACTCGTCATCTTCCATGCAGCCGCTTTTAAAGCATGGAAAAATTTAAGAGAACATAGAATATAAAGGGCCCTTTGCAGAGGGACATTCTGTCTTCAACCTGAAACTAAATGCGGTTATTAGAATTGCACAAACGCAGGCTGATGAAACGCTTTAAAGAACTAGACACTTTTAACAGGTAATGGTTAAGACTTTTTACTTATAATAAACCCTTTTAAAGTTTCATAACAGCTTTTGATAACTCACCATAACTTCACAACTGTTTTCACCAACGTTTGCATTTACAGCAGTTGAAAGGGGTGCAAAGCGCTAGCTCTAAACTAAGTATGTAAAAGGGGTACCATTTGTCAATTGAAGGTATACGAAAGGGTTACCTTTTCTATAAATAATGGTATATAAAAGGGTAAGAGGTCACAGCTTGGAGCGGAGCCCTTGGCTGAGTACACTTCTCCCCCCTCCCCTCCCCCGTTACCCCGACGAGATTAAAATACAATCCCGGGTTAGCGCGGGGCCTTCGGAAAACTGGCATGAGCCCGGAACTATGACTGACCAATAGAAACATCCCTTTAATTTATTCATTTGGTCACACTTGCACGGTCAGGGGGCTCCCAACATCAGCCGCCGTTGTTCACAGTCATCTTTGGTTAGCTTCCCCAGCTTTCATATTCAGTCTTTCATATTGCTATGTGAAGACTCAATTGCTCGCTCTTGCCAGACTCAAGAAGAAAGATTGCTAAAGATTATAGTAATAACATGGCAAGGTACAAGCTTCATTTGAGTCGTGTCCATCCTCTGCTGGTTTTGAAGCATTTAATTAACATTATTATGAGCGTGTCTAATAATCTCTGTCCTTGCGTATTAATTAATCGTTGTTTAGAACATTCATTCTGGTCACATGTACGGGCTATCTCTTGTGCTAAGCTCATTCGGTTGTCCCAGTTTACTAAAACACAAAGCATGAGTTCTTTTTAGTCGCCTTATTAACATTTATTAGGTTTCAAGTTAAAAAAGTCCATGTTTAGCTCTCATCCACTTGAAAGGAATTCTATTCGTTGTCTGCCGTTACCTGTTGTAGTTTTGAAACTATTCAGTGCTAGAAAGACGTGATTGGAAGAAAATTCTCGAAGGACTTAGTCTGCTACACAGCCGTTTTTAGTGTCGTCACGCAACGCTCCGTTGCGTGACGACACTAAAAACGGCTGTGTAGCAGACTACGAAGGACTTCGGTGAGACGGAAAGAAGTTGAAAGGGAAATGAGGCAATAGAGAAGGAAATTTATTTATAGGATAATGCCTGAGCCCCGAGGCCTTCTTCGTTGCTCGCTTGGCCGCTTCGAGGCCTAAAAAGCTCGCTTCGCTCGCTAAGAAACTTCGTGAGGTCGACTTGTAGCAAGTCGACGCTCGACGGTCGTACTCGATCAAACGTGCGATTACTGAAGGCCTGTTTGTTTGACTTTTATGTTTAAATATTAACACTGATAAAAAATGAAGTAACGAAAAAAAAAAAAAAAAACCCTAAATATTACCCTATAACAAAACAAGTGTATATTTTGCGGAAATTTTGTACGGTGAACCTTCCCCCCTAATCCCCCCGAATCCTTTGTTAGCGATTTGATAGGACGATTGTCACATCTGCATAATACACCATAATAGATCGTTTTCACTGTCACGTAACAATTAAATTGGAAACAGTCCAGTGGAAGAAGCCAAGAAAATGAAATGTCATAAACGACTAATATATAAATAATTTTACCAAGTCTCACGTCTTTGTGGCCCACAGTTTCTGAGTTATTTGCCGAAACGTTTCACGCACCTTTGTAGAGCTAGGTATGGAGACGCCATATCGGTGCGCCGTTTTGGTGCACCAATATGGCCGCCGGAAATCAACAAAAACATCTGGAGTTCACTTTTTCTATAAAAGATCTTTCTTTTCACTCGAGAACTACCATACGTACGCATAAACATATCCTGTAATACTTGAAGTGGTATCAAGAGGAGAGACTTTTTTTCAACGAGACAGCATTCCTATTTTGGTGTCACGCACTGTAAAAACACGGAAGTTCAAATTGCTGTATTTTCGAAATGAAACATGCTACGGCAATGGAAACTTATAGAAAGATTTACCTTTTGGTTATCTTCAACCTAGTGTAAATAAGAATTCGTAAAACCTCGCTATTTTGACTTTGCAATTTGATGACGTCACAGTGAAAACCATCTATAGACATTGAAGGTCGAATTACCGCGAGTGTTACGGCGACATTCAAGGCAGAAGCCGGCCTTTTCCCTCTCACTATCATAAACATAGGCACGTTAAACGTGCATGAGCTATTTTGAATGCTTCAGTGTAACTATAATACTTCGGTGTAACCTTACCAAGAGTGATGAATCTACCTTATTCATCCTAAATGTAGATTTGGTTTTTGTGCGAAATTGGGTATTGCGCTACATAAATGAAAACGCGAAACGCTCAGCTGAGTCGATCCTCAACCTATATATTCACTTTCCTCTGTCTTTCCCCGTTACATCTGGTGCAAGTTAAACAAATTGTTGAAGTAAAATAAATTTCTACTCACCAAACGTTGATTAGAAGGAAAACTCTAAGGTTTCCTCGGAGTTTCTTAAGCCAAAATGTGACTCATCGAATACTGAATAGTTACGAAATACCAGGATTCTTATCATTGAGGTAAATGGTTGCATCATCATAATTCACGAGGTTTTCCCTCTCACTATTATAAAAATGTAAACAATAATGCACTTCAGAGTTTAACAGTCATTTTGTTCTCTTGTACATATGTATAACCGAACATTGACATTCAGTTTGATATTTGGAACTTTTTCTATTTTAAGGTTCAATAAAGGTTGATTATGATTACTCAAGCGAGATTTACTTGTCAAGAAATGATCAGAAATGGATTCCGAACAAAATCGAATCGGATTGAGTTCGATTACTCTCGATTATGTTCGATTGGTTCGATAATCGAACTCACAGGAAAATAGAGGTGCCATTATGTTCGATTACCTAACCCAATCGAACGATTGGTGTTCGATTGGGTTCGATTTTGTTCGATTAGATACGCCGGAGAAAAAGTGACTGCTTAAAAAATCTTTCGAGATTTCTTCGGAATATTAAAAAAAAAAAACTTTAGTTACAATTGAATGTGTAGGCCATCTTGGTAAAAAATGCATGACTTAGAACCTTCTGCATACAAGTTTTGACCCTTTAGTTCGGGGGTCAAGATTGTTAAGATTGCGCCTTAAAAAATGGCGTATGCGGTTGTAAAATCTTGTGGTCGTGTCTTATTGTTGATCCTGTTGGTAATTCAGCTTGGAGCTTTACTGTACTCCCAGATCACAGGACATGCAAATAGTGGGTGGTTGCATTTACCTTGGCAGCTCATTATTGCTCATGTGTTGTTTTCTATTACGTATTCCAGTATCGTTTCATTCTTCAGCGTGATTTTTCTAGTAGAAGCGATACTGAACGATAGATATATTCTTTCCCGGTTATTTTTTGGATGGAAGTTGTACATTGGCGTTGTTTTTGTGCCATATGTAATCGATGTATTTGGAATTACCCTTTATTTTGATGAACATAAAATTCCATCCGGTATGAACGGATTAATGTTGACTGTATGCGCAACACCTATCTTGCTTCTGTTGTTGTTGATCACCGCAGATGATTCGTTCAGCTCAAAAAATCACAGAGATCTTGTCCGGAATTTATCCATTCTGATTGACCTGACCTGCTGAATTTATTCTCGATATGAACATCACACATACTTGAATCGGATCAAACCAAAACTTTCTTTACTTCTGGTAAAAAATGGTAAACGAATTTCCATTTGGAACGTTCCAACCGGGAAAACGGTAGTACCTTTTCAGAATTTCTGTTTGTTCCGGGAATTTCCCAGTGGGATGAACCGAAAAAACGTTTACCATTTACATCCCAACCGAAATTTCTGGGAATTTGTGGTAAATGGTAAACAACCTTAGTTACCCGGAAATTGACGTGACCTGCTGAATTTATTCTCGTGATATGAACATCACACATACTTGAATCGGATCAAACCAAAACTTTCTTTACTTCTGGTAAAAAATGGTAAACGAATTTCCATTTGGAACGTTCCAACCGGAAAACGGGAGTACCTTTTCAGAATTTCTGTTTGTCCCGGGAATTTCCCAGTGGGATGAACCGAAAAAACGTTTACCATTTACATCCCAACCGAAATTTCTGGGAATTTGTGGTAAATGGTAAACAACCTTAGTTACCCGGAAATTGACGTGTAACCTGCTGAATTTATTCTCGCGATATGAACATCACACATACTTGAATCGGATCAAACCAAAACTTTCTTTGCTTCTGGTAAAAAACCTTGGAGACAAATTCTACAAGTGTGTACACTTGGATCACGAGCTAAAATTGTCAAAATCAGAGGTGCGTTTAAGTATTTTTTGTTCTGTTTTTTGTTTCTATGCTGCGTTAGGCTTTTGATGTAGACGCCAATGTTTGTTTACCTAGGGTAGGCCTGATACAAGAAAGAAGATCGCTTCAATTTTTAGCACTAGAATGGCAAGGTAATTCATCCGCAGTACTAAATATTTACAAATCAATATGTCATTCTATAATACACACTAAGGACGTAATTTCGTGGCAAGAGTCGAAAAATCAATTTCTTTCATTTTTTGTTCATAGATAGCTTTTAGGTAGATAAGAAACCTAAAGTAGATTGTTCCTGCCGAAAGCTTTTTATTTGTGAGAAAAATTAGAAGATCGGAGTCTCAGACTGCCCTAATTTTTAACCTGAAATTCGCTAACATTAACTTTCCTCGAGTTCGCAAACGAAGCCGCATGGAGAAATTTGGACTCTTTCCATGAACAGAAAAATCATTTTTCTTCCACTAAAAGATACTTTCAGGGCAATAGCGTAGCTCGTCGTACTGAAATAATTCAAAAATGAGGGATAGGTTTTCAAGATAACAAAAACTTAAGTTCGTTATTCATTTTCGACGGCAATATTTAACATGTGGTATACACGCTTTTAATAAGTCTGGGCGCCATCTTGAATTTTCAATGAATGACGTCATTCGCGGAAAGATCATACACGTGGCCAAAATGGCTACCAAAGATGAAATCTCTGTTGGCGTTGATTTTGCGGTGTGTTTATATAAAAAAGAATGTTTTTACTTTATATCAAGAGGAATATTTTCTTTATTTATACAATGTCTTTATGGGTATGTTATCGTAACTTTAAAGCTTTCGTGCAAAGATATCCCTGGATGGATGACATCGAGGACAAACGAGAGCTGATTTAAATGCCAAAAAAAAAAATGCAAATTAAAGTTTTGGCTTAATCGTCGTGGCTTACGTCAACAGACACGAGCTTAACTTCTTCCCAGGTAATCTTTTTTAGCAATGGTTTTGATTTTTCATTTTTTATTCGGGCCTTTATTTAAAAAGCTGAAAACGATTAATTATTACCGCTCGTAGGAGACTTATATTATCTATCAGGTATTTTTAAAGCTAACTGAAAGGATTTTTCATGTTGCTATTCTGATCCTTTCAAAATGTAACTTCGATAAAAAGTTTATGCTTTTCATCATCAGTTTTTTATGTTATTATGTAACGGTTTTAGGGAAAGAGAGAAGTTGGATAAAAACGTTTATACTCCAGTCGACCCTTGCACCGAATAATTTTTCACTCTGGGAAGGCGTAGCTCAGTAATCCAGAAAGCTATCAGCTCGATTCCTGGTTAGAGATGTAGCCACTAAAGAGAGTTGGAGCAGGGATGCATCAATTCTTCCAAAGCACTTTACTTACATTTACATTGTTGAACAAGCAACGAAAAAATCAAAAAGCACCCTCTAAAAGGGATACAAATTTTTATTTGAGAATTACTGTCACGACGATTATTGTAGGCTTATATGGACAATAAATTCATGCAGAGAGGAATGCTTTAAATCACTTTAGAATGAAAGGCCTCACAATGTTACCCTTACCAAACCATATGTATTTTGAAACTGATTTTAAAGTATTTAAAATGTATTTTCAGTATTTGAACACTATTTTACTGTATTTTAATCCTGTTTGACAAAGAAATATAAATTTTCGCCCCTGTTTGAAATATATCTTGAGTGTAGTTAAATTGTATTTCATGAAAACGAAAACCTCTCTCATCAATTTACAATGTATTTTGTTTAATAAATATGATTAAAATAGGGTATTTAAAATGTATTTTGGGCATAGAACCACTAACACTGTTACAAACAGAGTTCAAATAGACTATTTGAAATCTGTTTTAACGGCTTTTATGCTGACTGTATTTAAAAACTTTTAAATAGGGTACTTTAACACTGTTTTGAGTTGTATCTAAAATGTAGTTTGAGACGCATCCACTCACAAAGTTACAAACATAGTTCAAATAGACTATTTGAAATATGCTTTAAGAGCCTAAATGCTGACCGTATTTTAAATCCTTTTAAATAGGGTACTTTAACACTGTTTTGAGTTGTATCTAAAATGTATTTTGAGACTCATCCACTCAAAAAGTTACAAACAGAGTTCAAATAGACTATTTGAAATATGTTTTAAAACCTTAAGAACTGACCGCATTTTAAATACTTTTAAATAGGGTACTTAAACACTGTTTTGAGGTATATTTGAAGTGTAGTTTGGGCACACAACACTCTGACTATAAAAACAGATATACATAAACTATTTTAAGTCTGCTTAAAGACATCAAATGCTGACCTTACTTTAAATACTTTAAAGTACTTATTACTTATTATTACTGAGGTGCGATATTGTAATGTACTTTGGGATACTCAGACTATAAAAGTAACAAATGCACAAAGTTAATTTTTAAGCCTTCATAGTGTCACGAACTCATAAATGACTCAACACAAGCTGTCACATATTGTAGACCGGATTCTCTTCTCAACAAAGTTCGAAGCTGAGCGAAAAATTAAATCTTAAAATTAAATAAAAAAAGAGAAGAAAGTTAGGAATAGATTTTAGCTTTGACTGACAACACCTAACTGTGACAGTGTGCCGATAAGAGATCAATCCGTTCCTCAATGTTCATTGCCTGCAAGCTCTCTGCGAAAATCTCCTCGTAGATTTTAGCCGTGATTCAATTAATGCAGTTACGGCATTCCATAAGTTTTTTTAAAAGAATCTTCTTAAAATCTCATTTTAATGGAAATTTTTCACAAACAGCCGAGGCCGCAGGCCGAGAACCGGATGACAGAGGTTTATCTAGAATAAGCCCTTGAAATTACATAATAAATAAATTATCCAAGCTAAGATCTCACCTCGTATATATTGCATCAAGAAACAAAGCTCAGATCTGAATAACTCCGACATATGGTTATCTTTCTCTCATAGATTATTCCGTACATGCATAGCATATTATTTCTGAGATGTCACGCGCGACTGAAATCACGACTTCGCGCCGCGGTGATGTGACAAATGCACGTGATAAACAAACCGTCCTTTGTCCTTTGCTCATTTCAAATTATTGAACCGGCGGTTACTGTGATTGCGGGTGCGCTTGATTTTACTGTTTGTTACGATCTTACAAAAGTACATTTCAACTCCGCGGATTGTCTGAACACGTAGACGTTGCTTTTATCACGAATCAAAAATGGGTATGACTCCTCAGCGACTGCTATGTACTTTGAAAGGTTCTGGTTCAGGTTCTATTCGAAGCACGCTGTCTTATGTGTTAATCCAAGAGTCTTCTCTCATGTGAGTATTATAACAGGTTACTAAGACGCTTAAGTATACGCCATATGAGAAACAAATGAAGGGTAGTAAACATTTATATACTCCCGCCTGTACGGCAATTTTAGTTTTTACAGGGTTCCGTGCTCATCCTGGCTGTGTTGCATGAATGATCTCAGTCACTTGATGTCACGCTCTTTCATTCTCGCGTAAATTTGATGGTGTTACTCTTATGTTGTTCTTTATCAGCCAATAATTAATATTCAGGCGTAGCCTGCAAGCTTCTGATAATACTTGAGTAAAGCCGTGAATATAATAAATAATGTAAGTTACATGTAACGTCAGTAACGCAAACCCCTTTTGAAGCTGAAGATTGATAGCCTGTGTACAGACCCCCTCCCCTCCGATGTTTATTGAGGGGAGGGAGTCTGTACACAGGCTAAAGATTGATTTCACCATTTCTGAAAAATTCCATAAGAATTACTCGAGAATACGTAGGGAAATCAACGTAAAGTCATCGGCTAAGAGATAATTCTCGTGAAGTCCTGGCCTAGGACTGTGTGGAGAAATTTCGCAGAGGTAAATCTTGCTTTTTCAGGGTAACTTTCGACGATTATGTAGTCATTTTATTTCATGAATTTAAATGGTATTTCCATCCTGTTTTTGTACTGTTTTTATGCTCTTTCGACCGATTTTTGTACTGTTTTCAGACAACTCTAAGGCTATTTTCTTACAATTTTATCCTGTTTTTGCATTTTTGCATCCTATTTTTTATGTATTTTCACAATATGTGCGTGCTATATTGCTTTCTTCTTCTTAGTTATTTTAATACTATTTTCAAAGTATTTTTATTGTTTTGCAAATACGAGTATTTTACTAAATTTCGAGACCGATTAAACAGCTATTAAAATATATTTTGAAGCATAACATTTTAATAGCGTTTTAAACAGGTTAAAACACCTTTAAAATCAGTCGAAAAATATATTAAAAATATATTTTTGTACCTATTTTAAACCTGTTTTTTTCAAAATACTTTTAAAATTGCCATTAAAAATAGTTTTAAAATAGTGTAGCAAATTAAAATATGTTTTTAAAACTGTTTTTATCCTGTTTATATTCGGATTTATAAGGTATTTAAAAACTGTTTTAGACCTGTTTTGAGCCTTGCAAAAGCCCTGGGATTTTTTTATATTTTAAACGAATTTTAAAATACTTTAAAAATTGTTTTTTAATAGCATTTTAAACAGGTTAAAACACCTTTAAAAGCAGTCGAAAAATACATTAAAAATACACTTTTCACCCTATTTAAAACCTATTTCACAAAACAGGTTAAAAACAGTTTTCAAAAATAGCTTAAAAATACATTCAAAACAGTGTTGGATTTGGTAAGGGTAACAGTTGTGATAAATGCTCTTGTACAGCAGGAGGAAATGGTTACTGTAATCATATGTTTTTATTATATGAGAGTTTGAATTCACTGAATTCCCAAGAACTGGAATGTGCACAACTCAAAACAGTAGCACAAACCAAGGACCTAGGGTACGAACCCTAATTCATATATGCATACAAGGCATATAATGTCATTAATCCTTATTACAGGGAGAAATGAGGGCTTTAAGGTGTCCCTTGTATGCAGCCAGGCAACATACTGTCCAAAATAAAGAGAGAGCAAATTAGTTCTTTCATTCCCTTAAGACAATTAACTGGCTTGCAATAGTTTCAACTAAATGAACTGGACACAAGGTTCCACGGGTAGTGAGTTAAACATCTCTCTCTAATGGAGGCAAACTTCAGTGTTATGACAACCATTCCAATTTGCCAAGACCTAGAGCTGTTGATGGCTCCTTTCCTGAATTCCCAATTGACACTGACACACCAGCTTGAGTGGGATTGCAAATGCCCCTTTTTTCAGGAGGACCAATTTATAAGTTGTTTAAAATTAATTGAGAATCAAAAGGTCAGAGCAAAGATACGTTTTGGTTTCAAAGTAAAAGGTTCAAGTGAACTAGCTGTAATTTGCACTTGTTTGCGAATGGAAACTCAACATCTCTCACTGCAAACAAGGTTTGTTCAAAATACTCTCGTGTCACAGAATGATGTTTCTAATAATATTGAAAGGCAAATTGGTCTTAAGCCGCAACTAAATAAGCTGAGTACATGAAAAATATGGGTTTAGCATTTATATTTGTAATATGTACATATATATTCATATTCAGGGCTTAGCGTGTGGGGTTGTCATATCAAGTACAATGTCATGGTTGGCTGCTTTACCAAACAGAAGTGTGATAGATAATAGGGATATCAAGTTATGGTTTATTAGAAATCCAATGCCCGTTTACATCATGAAACTTGACACCTGAGAAGGCATGTTCTGATCCAAGGTTTTATGTCGCATAGTTAATGGTAAGCCTGAGCTCAAAAGGGTCCACCTTTTTCAGGGTCATTTGGGTTGGGCAGGATTAAAGTGGTGCTGTCTTCAATATTCTTAAAAAAAAAAGACTGGTTACATTTCACTTGATCGTTAGCAGTTTTTTACCTTCTACCTTTAGTCTAAAATTTCAGATTCTAGTTCAGAAATTTCAGCGTCGGATTCGTGTAAGCTGTGTTGCTCAGCATCATTTGGCTCAACACACACCTCACTCCTGTGGTGTTTACCAGATTCCTGTTCAACTTTATCTTATTTTGGATCTTAATGATAAGGTATGGCTTGTGCACAGGGCATTTAAACACCTATCGAGGGGAGGCTGCACGTTTTCAAAAGCTACCGACCACTATTAAAAGACAATACAATACAATACTTCCGAATTCATCATCCCCCAAATGAAAAGAACAGACGATTGTATGTTTCTGACCCTAGCAAAAAAGCAATATTTGAGAAATGAATACAGCGGTACAAATTAGAACCCACACACAAAACGACTAAGTTACACACCTTTACGGTCGAGTACTCCTCCCTTTTAAATCGCTGCAGCCGTGCTACCTGTTAATACATGCTGATCGCTTGGAATCGTATGTCACATTTATTAGTGTTGCGTTTGTTATCGAACATGATATCGCCGTATGACTTACCAAGACGAACCGCACAACTGAGATTACTTTAGCCTGGGAAAAGGATTTTCTGGTATTTGTTAATGTTTATAGAGGAAAAGAATGGAATAAAGCGATTCATAATGCCCTGACTTTGCCTCTCGTCCTATCACGTGAGTCAAAACTCCAAGATGGCGGCTGAAATCTTTCCGCGAATGAGGTCATAAATTAAAAATTCAAGATTGCGCCCAGACTTATTAAAAGCGTGTATAACTCCAAATTTTCTTAATGCTATTTAAATCCCACATTTAGACATTCATTTAAAACATACCTGGGAATTGACTTGGGTTATTGAATGTAATCTCCGTAAGACACCATCGAAGTTCAGGAATTTTCATGGTAGGCCGGCGGTAATTGTGTAAACACTTCCAATTTCGAAACGCACAAAAGTAGATATTTACAGCCTAAAGGCTCGGTTTTTGTACTTCTTGTAGGTTTTCCCATTGCAAAATTTCTTTTTCCATTCAAAAAGTGGGGTAAAAAGGTGAAACTGGGTCAATTTTAGCCATTTTGAAACGCTGAACCCTTCAAGACGGCGACTATGCGTGACAATCTGTTCCGTGACTGCACGTGACATAACCTACGTTTGAAGAGACGAAGCCGTTGACAGTCACGGAATCAAGGTAGTAACGCAACGCAATTCTTGAGAGTAACATTTTCGATCCCGACACTATTTTGAAGAAGAAAAAGTGAAACGCGCTTTTTCTAATACTCACTTTTTATCAAAAAATATGGACTTTAACAATGGTAATTCGCTAAGGATGACGGAACAGGAACATATTTCGTCTTCTTACTTTACGATCGAGGAAACTTGGAGCCGTTAAATAAGTTATTTTGGTTGCGCTTCACTATTTTTACCGGACTTTGATGCTTTCGTTTGGAGGCTGCCTAAAGGAACCCAAGCCAGTTCTCAGGTATGCTTTAGATGAATGTCTAAATGTGTGAATAAACGAAGACCGGGAAAATTTGGAGCTATACCACATGAAGGAAAATGCCGCAGAAAACGACTACTAAATTAAAGTTTTTGTCACCGTAAAAACCTGTTCTTCGTTTCTGAATTATGTTAGTTCTACGAGTCTTGATATTGCTTTGAAAGTATCTTCTAGTGAAAGAAGAAGAGTTGCTCTATTGATGGAAAGTGTCCAAATTTCTCCTTGCGGCTTTATTTGCGAACGCGAGGAGACTTGATGTTAGCAAATTTCGGGTTGAAAATACGGCCATTTTGAGACTCCGACCACGAAAAGTGATATTCTTACTTTTCTCGAAAATAAAAGGCTTTTTGCGATCACAACTTACATCAGATTACTTATCTACCTAAAAGGTATTTATGGACAAAAAATGATGGCAATCGATTTTTCAACTCTTGCCACTCGATGGTCGATATTTCCTGACCGTCGCTCTTAAAGACTTGACGTTTCATGTACTTCCGAGGGATCCTTGCCGAAGATTAATGTCCCTGAATTTCTATACTTTTCACTTTCCAACACAAGTTCATTCAGAGACTATAATTGCTCCAGGAATATCTTTCGGGGTTAATTCTATATCTCTGAATCACAATCCGTTCTCCGCAGCGAAAATAAGGTTTCATGAGCGCTGATTTCTTTTATAATTCCTTTGTTTCTTTGGTGATTTATGGTTTCGGAAGAAATTCTCCATCCGTAAATATTTGGTTACAGTTTATAGTCATATCATTTTGTCTCACAACGCCATTTTTAGCTCATGGATGACGTAGTCATGCCATGGGCTTTTCGATCACTCGATCACTCACTCACTTACTCACTCACTCACTCACTCACTCACTCACTCACTCGATTCTCATTAAGTTATTCATTAAAGTCAGATTAAACACTTTACTCTTACCTCCCTTACTTAGTATTACTTTTGTTCCAAGTGCCTTTTACGCATATGTTTGGAATATTCTAGAGGGTACTAGTAAAGCGCATTTTTTTCCACGACACATCAATTATAGAGATGGGTTTTGTATAAATGGAAATATTCTAAAGAACACTGATAATATCATCTGCAAGAAATGGACTTAGAAATGTTAAAAGGACATTGAAATAATTCAGCGTGGATCATTGTTGTATATTTAGACGAATTGGTCACATTTGTTCCCGATATTACTTGATATGGAGAAGATGCGATCGACAGGAGTGTGAAAAAGCTATCGCAGCCTGACGATGGGATTTCGTTCAGCAAAAAGCGAATAAGCCAAAGAGCCTTATAATCACTGCAAAAAAACGGTCCTCGAATTGTTAAAGCGACGTTGAGGAGTATCTATTGTGGTTTATTGTTATTTGGACGAATCCATTCGACCATTTGTCTTCGTATCAGGGGCACCCAACGAGAATATAGTTCAAAACCACTTAAACAACATTGTTGAACGTATTTTAGTATTTAAACGGTAGATATAGGAATATTTTTATCCCCTAAAAATTTTTCATCTGTTCTGATTTCCTAGCTGAAAGTCTAGTGATCCGAAAATTATAGGGATCAAAGCTTACCTTTTCGAAAATTTCAGCCAGAAAAAGGGCTCCCGAAAATTCTAGGTGACCTTTTCAGGGTAAAAATCCGTTAAAAATGGGCAATTATACCATTTTTTAGATGTTCGAAAATCCTAGGACTCTTTGTGAACAGCATATGGAAACATTTATTTAAAAGCATCGCACTTTTAAGAAACCTTCGAGGTCCATTAAATTAATTGTTTAACCACGGTTTAAATAAAACTCGGGCTTATGTAAAACTTAGCTATTTTACAAGAAAGTGCACTGTCGTTCGGAAAGTGTTTGACAGTCACATGAGAAAGCAAATTATTTTACAACTAAAAAGCGTTAATAATTGCTTTTAAAAGTGATCTTTGCGTTGTAAGTAGAAATGCTGGCTGATAATAACAAGTTTCTAGAATATTCAGGTGCACATGCAATCGGATGCTTCGAGTCACACTGTATTTTGGCAAGTTCGTACACAATGACCCGTCCAAAAAGATTTATATGTTTTTTTGATTATTGAACTGTCTTTTCTACACTAATTCAATTCATCCATGAGCTCGCTCCTAGGAGCCTTTGATTAAAGGGTATAAGTCAAGGTTGACAACAAGAAAAAGATTGTAAAAAAAGCCAAAAACATCGAAAACCCTTGGCCCATATCTGCCATTTTAAAAACTTAATTTTTCGCCCTGTTTACTCCAAAATAAAAAAAAAAAAACGGCTGTCGACATAATGTGACGCCACTGCGCTCGTGCAATTGTTTTTGCAGTTCGTTGAA